CCACCACGGCCTGCTTCCCCTGGGACGTGGCGCTGGCCCCGGATCCCGAGTTCGAGACCTTCGCCAGCTGGATGACCGCCAGACCCCAGCCCCCTCGGCCACCTGTGCCCTGGGACCGGTTTGCACCCCCGGCACTGGCCCTGCTCCAGGGGCTCCTGGACCTGGACCCTGACAGCAGGAGCCCCCCGCTGGCCGTCCTGGGCGTGCTGGGAGAAGACTGGGGCTTGGAGGCCAACGGAGAGGGCCCTGGGGGCTCCCTGAGCGGGGACAGGGAGGAAGGGGACAGAGGAGGGTCAAGCTTGGAGGAGGACACAGATGAGGATGAGGGCGAAGGCAGACAAGGTGGGAACATGGGAACAGGTGGCAGAGCTCCTCGGCCAGGTGACTGAGACAGGAGGCCGAGGCCTGGGCCAAAGGCCCCTCCCTCAGCCCACGGCCACCTGGAAGGGAAAGCAGCTGTTCCGGGAGGACAGGGGGACACAGCACCTCCCTTCAATGAGGGCTGGACCTCAGTGTGGGACACCTCCACCTGGTGTCTGGGCCCAGCCTCCTCCCTCTGTCCTGCGTGTGTCCTCCTGAGGAAGGCACTGTCCCCACGCACATGTCTCTGCTGCAGGGCCACGTCCGGTGGGCTCAGCCCTCGCCCACTGTGAGCTGCGCAGCCTCTGAGCGGCAGCACCAGCCCTCAGCCTCTCCCACACCTCCAGGTTCTGGGGCCAGCTCGGGAATCATTCATCCGTGCTGGGCCTGAACTCACATGTGCACACACACACACACACATGCACACTCGCCATCAGCCAACGTGGCACACTCGTACCTCCACCTACAGCCTCCCCATGCGGCCCAGCCTCAGCCACTCTGGGTCTGCACTCGCCTGGGAGCCTCATGTCCAGCTGGCTCCCAGCCTCCCAGCCGACTCGGTCTCTTGCACTTCTGTACCTTGAACTCGGTGGCCTGAGTCACACAACAGCACAGGGCAAGCACAGCATTGGCCTGGAATCTGCCCCTCCCAGGAGCTCACGTCTTTCACGTCTTTCAGATTGAAATGCAAGTTCACGCAAGGTGTGGGGTCCCTGCCTGTCATCCCAGCACTCTAGGAGGCTGAGGCAGGAGGATCACAAGTTCAAGTCCCATCTAGGCAACTATGCAAGACCCAGAGAAAGGCTGAGGATGCAGCTCAGGGTGAAGGTCCTGGGTTCAATCCCCAGGACCACAGAAATAAATGAACAAGTAAATAAATAAATAAACATGAGTCTCCTGAGTGCCATCCTGGATGGCCCGTGATGTACAAGGACCTTGGTGGAACCGCAAGTGGGGGACAGGAACAGCATCGCGCTGAACGAACCCACACCCCGACCGGACATGAGTGGGGGGGTCGCAGGAAGGGGCCTCCGACTTCAATGCAGACCTGCACGGCTCCACAGGAGCAGCTGACGCCAGTGACTGTCCCACAAGACCCCCGCAGTAAGGTCTGGGAGCAGCTGGCCAGGACGGGGCGCAGCCCTAACTCCAGTTGTCTAGCACCTGCTCTCCGGGTGAGGTCATCCCACCTCATGGCTCTGGAATCCGCTGCCTCATCCCCTCTCGCAGACATGGGTCTGCGCCCCAGGGTACCTCCTTGCATCTGAGCAGTCATGGGCTCCAAACTGTGCCAGGGTCAAGAGGGGTCAGGTTGCAGTCAAGATCACATTGTCTTCTGAAGGCTCGGACCCAGGTCTGCGGAAGGAGGTTGCGCCCAGACTCGGGGCCTGAGGGCCTAGGTTGGACCCTGGGTCCCAGGAAGGAGGCCGGGCCTCCTGATGGGGGCATTTGTCCAACCACCTCCAGTTCTAGGATTCAACGCACGGTGTCGCCCTGGCCCCAGTGGGGGCACTAGGGGCGGGGCCAGGGGTGGGGCCTCACGACCCCCAAACAGGGCAGGCTTTGCTCTGGGCAGCGCTGTTGGCATGGGCCCTGAGAGCTGGGCACTGGGCACTACAGGCTGCGGACGGGTCGGGCGAGCCTCAAGGAGGTGAGGCTGGGGCTCTGAGCCCAGGCTGGAGCCAAGGGCAAGCACGGGTGGGCAGTCATGGTGCCGAGCAGCCAGCTTGCTGGGTCCTGGTCCCACAGTGCACGGGCTGCACCTTCAGCCTAGGGAGGAGGCACTGGTGCCGGGCCCATGGGTTCTGTGAGGTGCCAGGACAGGAGTGGGCTGGGGGCTCTGGCGTGGGGTCTGCAAGGGAGACAGGCCCTGGATGGGCGTTGGTCCACTAGTGTTGCAGTAGAGCCCACTGAAGCCCTCTGAGGACCCGGGGGAGCAGTGTCCCAGTGAGGCCAGGTCAACAGAGAGGTCACAGAGTTCCCCCTTCCTGCTACCACCGATGGCCTGAGGGTGAAAGATGAACCACATCACTTGAGACACCCCCACCTTGTTTCCAAAGCAAACAGCCTTGGGCTAGGGGTGGACAGCAGCCTCTGTCTCCCAAGAGCAAACAGGTGCTCGGCCTCAGGGGTGAGGTGGGGCTGTCCAAGGGGGAGACCTGGAGTCCTGCGCTGGCCTGGCGAAGAGCAGAGGCCCAAACCCCAAGGTCTGACTTGAGGAGCAAGACCTCCTCCCTCGGACCCGGGGTCCCTGCCTGACCCCCTCCCTGGGCTCTGGCCTGGAGGCTGGATTACCCAGCTCACCCTCTCTGTTTCCATCCTGACAGAAATGCCAGGCAAACAGCCGGAGACTGAGCCAATAGAGGCCTCCGAGGGTGGCGCCGAGGACAGCCTGGGTGGCCTCACGGCAGAGGAGCTGCAGCAGGGCCAGGAGGCAGCGCTGGCGCTGGAGGACAGGATGGCGCTGAGCGCGCAGACCCTGGTGCACGCGGAGGTGGAGCAGCTCTACCAGGAGGTTCGGCCCCTGGGCCAGGGCCGCTTTGGCCGTGTGGTGCTGGTCACTCACCGGCAGAAAGGTACAGATGGGGTGGGGGCAGGTGTGGGTGCGACGGAGGTGACGGTGGGCCCAGGGGACAGCAGCAGCCGAGGCTGGGTGTCCGGTAGAACGGGATGGAGCCTCACCTGTACCCTGCTTGGCCATGAGGCTTGGGGAGCCCTTTAACCTCTGAGCTCCAAGCCTCAGCTTCCTCCTTGAAAAGATGAAACGACTCCTTCCTTTTCCTCCTTAATACTGAGGATTGAACCCAAGTGACATCCTCAGTCCTTTTTTAATTTTTTGTTTTTTGGTACCAGGGATTGAACTCGGGTCCTTGCGCTTGCAAGGCAGGCCGCCAAACCACTGAGCTAAATCCCTGGCCCTCTTTTTTAATTTTTTGAGACAGTGTCTCCCTAAAGCTATTAAGTACCCAGGTGTGGCTCAAAGTTTTGATCCTCCTGTCTCAGCAGCTCAAGGCCTGGGATTACAAGCAAGCACCACCTCACCAGACTAAGCACTGTTTATTTCTGACCATACAGTGACGCCCCTCATTTGCAATATTCCCAGAACCCTAGAGTGCCTGAAACTGTGTTTTCCTACACAGTCACACCTGGGGTAGTTTAATTTATAAAGTAGATGCAGTAAGAGCTTACTGCAGTAACTGCTAGTGCAGTAGAACCACTGTTGTAACAATTTTCTGCAATAAAATCACCAGCATTACTATTCTGTCCCCTGGGGCTGTAATCAAGTGAAATAAGGGTTGCTGGAACCCCAAGTGAGGGGGTTGCGAGGCAGATGTGGCAGTGAGGTGACTGAAGGGCAGCGTGAGTTCCCCAGGCTCCTCGGAATGCTGCCCACATCCTAACTTAGAATTGTCCAGTGTGGCACAGGAGCCACCCAAGCTGCCCACGTGTGAGGTGAGTGCGTAACCACTGAGCTACGCTCTCTGCTCTCACCTTGAATTATTTGCTTCTGGAATCTTCCACTCACCATTTTTGGACCAAAACTGACCATGACTGAAACTCTGGAAACAAAGCTGCAGAGGGGTCTCCGTCACCCACGACGGTTCTTGATGCCAGGGACGCTGCAGGTGACACAGGGACACTGTGTACTGAGCACCTCTCGAAGCAGAGCCCAGGGTCACCTCAGACTAGGCCCCCCAGAGGCCAAAAGTCCAGCGTCCAAGGGGCGGTCTCCCTCATGGCCATCTCCCTGTGTCCTCCCATGGTCTGTACTGTCATCTCTTCTTCAAGGGCCAGGCCTCTCCCTAGTCCCACTTTTTACCTCTATCTCTCTGTCTGTCTGTCTATCATCTATTTTATTTATTTTTTTCAGTGTGGAGATCAAAACTCAGGACCTTGCACTTGCAAGGAAGGCACGGCGCCACTGAGCTAAATCCCTGGCCCTATGTACTTACTGTTTTGCGACAGGGTCTCGCTATGTAGTTGAGGCTGGCCTTGAACTCACTAGTAGCCAAGGCGGGCTTGGAACTGGTGGCCATCCTCCTGCCTCTGCCTCCTGGGTACTGGGATCACAGGAGTGAGCCACCGCACCAGTCGTACCTCTTTAAAGACCCTGTGTCCAACGAGTCATGAGCTGTGGTGCTGGAGATGAGGACACAGCACTGGGAGGGGGACAGGGATGCAGAGAGGGAGGGAGGGAGAGGGAGGCACAGCTCGCCTAGGGCCTTCTGGAACTCCGAGCTGGCGTGGCCATGGAGGACATCCAAGAGCCTCGCCCGCCTGCTTCCATGGAGCCCTGGCTCGAGGCCCTGATGGTGCTGCGGGCCTGTGACACGGCTGTGTCAGGAGCAGCTCGCAGTCTGGGGGAGCACAGCGGGCAGGAGGGCGGCGTGGGCCACGGTGACAGAAATCCAAGACATGGTGGGTGTGGAAGAGGCGGCGCCACCCCCTGCAGGGGTGACCAGGATGCGGGCAGGTGCAGGCGGAGGTGGCCTTGGTCACACGCAGCCCTGTGGTGGGTGAGGCTGGCTGGTGGCTCAGACCTGAGAGAGGTGCAGGCCTTCGGGCACCCCGGGATCTGCTCCCCGTTACCACGTGGCTTTGGGGTCCCGAGCAGTGACACAGGCCCTGGGGGTGCCGGTTCAGTTTCCTTCCTCCCCAGGCACGGGAAGGCAGAGTGGACCCTGCTATGGGAGCAGGGCAGGAGGTGGGGTCGGGAAGGTGGAGATGGAGCATGGGGGAGCCCACACAGCCTGCAGGGCCAGCGGGCACCCTGGGGACCTGAAGGACAGCTGTCCCATGGCCCCAGGTTCATCCCTGGCGCTGAAGCAGCTCCCGAAGACCTCCACATCCCTGCGTGGTTTCCTGCACGAGTTCTGTGTGGGCCTCTCGCTGGGTACCCACCCGGCCATCGTGGCAGCCTACGGCATCGGCATCGAGTCTGCCGGCTCCTACAGCTTCCTCACAGAGCCTGTTCTTCACGGGGATCTCATTGCCTTCATCCAGCCCAAGGTGGGTAGCTGGCTGAGCTGTCGGGATCCAAAATGACCTGGCCTGAGTCACATCCACAGTGTTTGGCCTTCTCAGGCCACACCCAGACTGGGCGGCCAGGATGGTGGACGGGTTAGGCCCCTCAGAGCTCACCCACCTCACAGAACTAACACTGGATTCCAGTGATAACCACCAGCTCTCGAGCCATCACACTGGCCATGCTGAGGCTGACAGGGTTCACAGGCTCCCACTGGGGCCCATCCTGCTCACTGGGCCTTACTAGTCACCCTAGGCTTTCGCAGGCTCACATGCCTTGCACTCACAATAGAGCTCCCCGGGTCCTTAGGCTCACAGGGACAGGTTTACCCGGTTTACCTCTGGCCTCACAGAGCTCACGGGCCTCACCAGGTCACACCAGGCCTCAAAGGCTCACGTGAAGCTCAGGAGCCCACATGAGGCCTCAGTAGGCCTCGCAGTCTCACAGCCTCACACTCGACCTCATTAGGGCTCACGCCAGGCCTCAAACTTTCGCACTAAGCTCACAGGTCACACTAGGCCTCGTGGCTCACACTTGGCCTCAAGGGCCCCACTAGGCCTTGCAGCATCACAGGTCATACCAGACCTCACAGGGCCATCTGTTCAGAGTCCTGCAGTCTCCTCAGTTTTTCTGTCTGCTTCTTGGGCCATGAGAGACCCAGTGCTCTCTGTCCCCCAGCAGCAGGTGGGCCGTGACCCAGCTTTCCTGTCCCCGCAGGTGGGGCTCCCACAACCTGCAGCCCAGCGCTGTGCAGCACAGCTGGCTTCAGCCCTAGAGCACATCCATGCCCGCAGCCTGGTATACCGGGACCTGAAGCCGGAGAACGTGCTGGTGTGTGACCCGGCCTGCCAGCGCGTCAAACTGGCCGACTTTGGCCACACACGGCCCCGTGGGACCCTGCTGAGACTGACCGGGCCGCCCATCCCCTACACCGCCCCTGAGCTGTGTGCCCCACCACCGCTGCCCGAGGGGCTACACATCCAGCCAGCCCTGGACGCGTGGGCCCTGGGTGTCCTGGTCTTCTGCCTCCTCACTGGCTACTTCCCCTGGGACCAGCCCCTGGAGGACACAGACCCCTTCTATGAGGACTTCCTTGTGTGGCGGGCCTCAGGTCAGGCCCAGGACCGGCCTCAGCCCTGGTTTGGCCTGGCACCTGCAGCTGATGCCCTGCTGTGGGGGCTGCTGGATCCTCACCCACGAAGGAGGAGCCCCGTGGGTGCCGTCCGGGGCTACCTGGGGAGGCCCTGGCGACAGAGGGCTGGGGAGGCCTCTGGGCTGGAAGTGGAAGCTGGGGAGGGCGGGCAGTGAGGCCTGCAGGCTCAGGAGCCCTCTTCGCTTCAGCAAGCCCCTTTCCTATGTGCAAGCCTTGCTCACAGGGACACCGCAGTCTCCTGCCCTGGGCCATCACTGCTCAGGGTGCTGTCCCTGTCCTCAGCCGTCCTTCTCTTCCCCCGAGTTACTGTATTGGCCCAGCCGCTGTGGTCTGCACACCCTCTGCCTAGTGTCCCTATTCCCTGCGGCCGGGCAGCCTCTGTCTGCTTGACTCCTGGGGTTCTTTCAGGAGCTCCCAGAGAGCTGGGGTCCAGGCCAGTCTGCTTCTCCTAGACCCCTGTGGCCCGGACCGGCTCCCACCCGTGCCTCTGGCTCCATTCTTACCTCCTCAGCCTCCCACTCTCTGCACCCTGTCTCCCCACCCTGACCTGTGCACCCGCCAGGCACTGCCTCTTTGTGATGAGCTCTGCCTCCTCACACCCACTGCTCTCTTCGAATAAAATCCACCTCACACTTGGGCTGTGTGAGGTCATACGTCTGTGTTGTGAGTGAGGAAAGAGCAAGTGGCACCCTCAGTGCCCAGCGGGCACCACCTCGCAGCTCCTGTGGTGGGTCTGTGGCCGTGAGTTCTGAGCAGGAACTGGTGGGCTGTTCATTCCCAAGAATCTTTTTTCCATTGCCAAGCCAAGCTTTACGTGGTGCCACTCGAGTGGCAGACGCCATCCTCAAAGATGCTGTCTTTGAGATCATACAAGCCTGTCATCCCAACACTCTGGGAGGCTGAAGCAGGAGGACTGCAAATTTGAGACCAGTCTGGGCGATTTAGCAAAATTGCTAGCAAAGTTGAGACCCTATTTCGGGTTTTTGAGACAGGGTCTCACTATGTAGTTGACACTGATCTGAAACTCACTATGTAGCCCAGGCTGGTCTCGAACTCACAGCAAAGGGCGCTGTGCAGACCAGAGGGTGACAGGAAGAGGGGCCACATCCCACATCCCAGCCAGCCCCTCGGGCAGCCCCCAGTGAGGACCAGGCCACGGGGCCTGGGTGCTGGTGGCCTCTCAGGAGCCCCAGACTGCGGTGTCTGCTCAAGGGCCCCTATACCAGGCAGCCCTGAGATGGAGCACAGGGACCCTGGGACCCCTGAGGATGGGGACCTGGAGGTGAGAGGCTGCAGACCAGGAACCCCAGATCTGGATGGAGGGAGGGAGTGTGAGGTGCCCGGGAGCCACAGAGGCGACACAGCAGTGCGGCGTGGAGGGAGAGACAGGACATGGGTGGCGTTGGGCTGGGCAGCAGCCCCCTGGGCTGGAGGCTTCTGGGGCCTCACATGATGGACAGGCAGGGCCTGTGACAGAGACCACCCCAACCCCGCCAGGACACAGACAGGTACCTGAGGCTGGG